CTGCACACTAACTCTACCAACTCAAAAGCCAAATATGCTAATTCCTGGATACAAATTGCGGTCTGGCTTCCAGTTGGCTGACCACAACTTTACACCCCCACTGAGACATGCAACAACACCACCTAGGCCTCCCTGAGTACAAGGTCTACAAAGTTGTACAAGGTCTACAAAGTTGTACAACTCCATGGCCTAGGTGTTCACAGGCAGGCTCCTTGCCCTGAATACCAGCTGCTATATGCAATAATCCACTGTTTAGAAATAGACGAAGGGCATAAATGCTAAATACAAGAAACAAAAGTCAATCAAGTAAATCCTCTCAAAAGGATTTAGTTATTTCATATATAATCAGCAATTAAAATTTTTAAAAAGATCCTTTATTTTAAGCCTGATAAGACAGATGAGATGAATTAGGTTTACTTTTTGTTCTATCTGATAGACACTATATCAATGTTCAATAATCATAAGCCAAAAATAGTTGCGTTCCACAAATCTATAGAATAGAAATTCTACCCAAAGGGCTGAGACCATGAGATGAAAACAAAGTATGATTTGACAAGCTTTTCCTTTCCCTTACAAATACTATCAGAAACATAATTTTAGTATCCCCAAAACCAATAATATTGGAAATTAATACTCACATATATAAATATAAATGCACAGCAAAGTAAAGTAAAACGCAATGTCAAGTACACTAGACATGGATAGTGATGCCAAATTTTGTAGGTGAACTTTAGGGAACACATTTCTTCATGAAAATAGGCTTTCCTTAGATTTTTAATATTTCAAGCCATTAAATAAGTAATTGTTCTCCCAAAGGCATACGGTCTGAATGGCTATCAGTAAATACTTGTACATCAAGGGAAACTACACTGAATTAAATGTTACCAAAAATGACAAAATAAAACACTAGCAGTATAAACCATTGCACAGGTGTATGCCATCTTACCAGCTCAAAAAAAAAAAAATTGCAATTACAGGCCTACACTATTTATTCTACTTGAGTACTAATTACATTTTATACATGTTTGTTTAGTAATGTCAGTCCAAGACATCATTTTGAGAATATAATTAACTGGATAGAATGGAATGTGTGTTTACTTTGTGTTTCTGTATTTCAAACAAGTCGGTCTTTGTTAGCTGTGTTTAACTGCCATCTAGAGTTAAAATGAATCCATTTCTTTTACCCTCTACTACTCTACTTGAAAATTTTAGGGCTATAAGCCAACATGTTTAACCCCTATTTCATAGCAAACAAATGTTCTTCAAACAACAAAATTATAAAAGAACAAGCTGACTCAATTTTTCAAAGTATTGTTAACATTTCCACAGGCTGCTAATACTTCAGGTGGAATGCAAAGTGAGTCACATATTATCTACTTAAAATGCTGCTTTCTTGAATGTATAAACAGACCAAAGAGAAACCTAACACACATCTAGACTCAGGAAAAATACATAAAAAAACATAAGAATTGATTTTCTATCTATTGCTACACCCTCCTGTTTGTATTCCTTCCCAGAGAACACGAAAAGTGGACTCAAAAGCAAAGATATTCGGGGATTCTTCGTTTTCAAACTTAGAAAATTATGATTATGAAAATTAGTCAAATCCCAAGTACACAGTTAATCGGTATACTTGTAATAATACCCTTATGTTAAAAAATGACATTCATATACAAATTTTTAAAGATCTATAAGAATAAACCATAGGCATAATCATTGAGTTTTCAATTTGAGAAAGTTATTACCTAAAAGCAATAAAGGCACACTTAAGAGGGAAAAAAAAAATCAGCTTTGAAAATAAGATGGTTCTGTAGCAAAGGTAATGTATTAAATTAAAATGTTAAAAAAAATACTAGGTAAAGCATTTTCTCATGGTATTCTCAAATGAATGAATGTTATTGGGGTTTTGCTTTTTTTTTTTTAATTATCTGCCCTAAACATGAAACCACAACCACATCTTCTGAATAGGTTTTTACACATCATTAGACCCTGAAACAAAATTGCAATGCAGTAAACAACAACTCTTTTTCTTTTTCAAAGGAAATTATATAGGTTTTCAAACAGAGGCATACAGGGAACAACAACTATGAAAATAGGGCTGGAGCAGTTTTAAATGGTTTTTGATAGACACAGTTGCAGAACAGGACAAAAAGATGGGAAGGCAGAATGCAATGTTTACCAAGTAGTCAAGTATGCATTTAAGAAGGTTCTTGATTGTTTATGCATAGTGGACTAACCATAAAGTTGTTACAGGGTTAGAAGAGCAAAGGGGAGGGGAGGGCTATGGAGAAAATAAAGAACAGACAGAAAGGCTATGAAAGAAAATTCCTACTTCAAGAAAATCCCGAGTTAAGAAGATCTAGAGAGACTAGTGAATGAATTGAAAGCCTCTGAGAAATCAAGGAAAGAGGATTGCAAAAGAAATGCCATTGCAAATTATACACGGGTGGAAGTGTGACAGATTAAGACAAAAGGGTCTTGAGTTTTAAAGTACTGAAATTTGGGAGGTAAAAAGTACACATATTTACTATTATACCACTAACAAATGATTTAGTAAGAATTATGTATGCTTTCAATTTGAAAATCCTAATTCTTTCTCAAGTAAATTTTAGAACTACTGAGGTGTTTAATTTGCTCTCCATAGAAGGAAATGGGAGACAGATGCAAATTTTCACTGGAAATCTGTAAGACTGAGCACACTTTATCAGCATGGCCTTGTTCTTTCAGTCAAGAATGTCTACAAAATAGGCACCAGCTGTGATAATGATTTCGCTATTGCAGAATTTTATCAGATTGGATCTAGATTAATAGCCAATTCATTGACAAAAGCTTCCAAAGAAGTCTTTTCTCTGGTTGTAAACTCTAGTCAAAACCCATCAAGGACAAATTTAAAGCACTTCAGAGGGTAGTATAGACTTATTTTGAGTGTAGAATATTTTTCCACAGTAAAAAGGACAGTTCACAACTATGAAATAAATTCATTACAATTTCATGTTTCTCCAAAATGAAGAAAAGCAGAAATAAGGCAATTGGACCCACTTTACTACATTTCACCTGGGATTTCCCAAATCCCAGAAAGAAAAACTAACTCCGCTCATGTATGAGTTCTTTATTTTCTTAGTCCTTACATGTTTATCCAGAGTAAGGACAAGGGAAATCTACAATGATGGCTTCTATATAAACTATAACAGAATTCACCACCAGTAATTTGTCGTCTTTGAAATTGTTAAGAACTGCTGCCATTCTTTCATTTCTTACGTTATAAAGTTTCTCCTTCCTTTTTCATCTTCAAACCTTCCTTTTCTATCCTCTACTTCTATTCTCTAATAACCAGTCTCACTCTTCTCTTTATTACTGCCATACTTCTATTTTCAAATTCTCTGACACCAGAAATGAAATTTTCAAGATTGGGGGAGAGGAAGAGAAAACATTTTCAACGGTTCCTTTCTACTGGTTCTCACCCCACATATTATTCTCATGCACACACACTTCTAGGTATGCTGCGTCCTTTATTTAGAAGATTTCGTGCTCCACTCTCCTGCCACCTCTAGTGATTAAAATAGACCTCCAAATCCCACCCATTTTTCAAGATCCACTTCAGTCTTCCAAAATGTGGTCTGAATTCTTCAGCTCAGTGCTCCTTAGCTTCTTCATAATCTGCAGGATACTTTTAAATCACACATTCTCAATGTAACAATTTCTTAGAATATAAGCATCAAACAAGCTGGAGTTTATTTACTATCAGTGTGATCTCTAATCATTTGTGTCTCAGTTTTCTCAACTATAAAATATATATGGACACTCTTGCTCATAGATTTGTTAGGAGTATTACATGAGGTGATTCACACAAATGCCTACTACAGAATAAGCAGTCAATAAATATTAGCTATTTTTATGTTGTCAGCCGTCATCCTATAACTTTTTGTGCTTATCATAAGAGCCCTGGCAGATTCTAGACTCTTCTAGGCAAAAACTATCACTACATCTCACAGATGTTTACAAGTGTGTCTGTATAGAATTTATAACTGAAACAACACTAAAAAATTATAGCATGCTTGGGAAATATGATTTGAATATTAGACCATGAGTACCTTACTCCAGAAAGCGCCTAAATTTACCCAATAAATACAGAAGCCACATGATAACAGACTGCAGAGATACCTCCTTCCCATCTAGGTGTCTCCAGAAAGAATCAACCATGGACCACATCATAAAAAGGGAAGTTATTGCACCAGAGTTCTAGGTAGAGAGTAAGTAGTTTCATGGGATACTATAAATTACCACAGTCTATCCAGATAACCTTAAAGTGCCCAAGAGGTATTCCTAGTGCAAGGTATTCCTAAAAAGTGCAAGATAATTTCCAAAGTATTCCTTAGCTCCTTGCTAAGACAGACAACGACCTAAGAAATGTCTGGGCTCAAAGCTGAGAGAACTGGATCTTTCCCAATCATGTCATTATGCAAACTTATACCAAGTAGGGAGGGAAGCAGAGTTGTATTGAGCAACATACAAATGCTGTAAGGTGTAATCTCTCAGTTCTCTATGTCATACAACCCATTACCAACTTAAGAAAAATCCTTATTTGTAAACATACATAAAAGATGCAAAAGAATGTCTTGTGACCATGCAAGAAGTCTATTTCATTCCTAGAACACAGGATCATTCAAGGATCTATTTTTTTCATCTTTACTAAGTAAGGCTATGAAAGAGCAAAATCAAAATTCCCATCATCTGAAGACCCAGCTCTTGTAAATTATGAAATTTCAATAAGGAGAATTACTTCATTCAAAAATAATCACTGAGCAGTTAGCTATATGTCAGGGAGTTCTGGTTGTTGAGAGTACAGCAGCAAGTAAACAAAAAATAACTGCTCTTTGAGGAAGTTCAAATTATTGTAGGAGGTCACTAGTTAAAAAAAAAACAAGCTATTATAAAGTATGTGGAATGATACTGTGTTGTGGCAAAATAAAGCAGGAGGAAAACACAGATGGAATTGTTACCTTATAATGGAGGTTTTCAAGGAATGCTTCTTTGAGGAGGTAGTTAAGTTTATGTAAGTAACCAGGGCAGCAGCTTTCCCATAACAGATGGTCCAGTAGTCTTTAAGGAACTGATTTATGTAAATATTCTAGGGGGAGGTGGATTAAAAACACAATCCTGGTTTGCAATCCTAGCTCTTTGCCTTTTAACAACTCGGTGACCTTAAGCAAGAAAACCATGTTACCTCTCTTGAACCTCATTTCTTCCTCAGGAAGGATAGTGCCTACCTCACCACCTTATTTCAAGGGAATAGGGTATAATGTTTAAAAATGCACTTTATGACACTAAGGGATTATTACCAAGTGCATATGTGGAGTTTAATAAAGTCTCTGCTGGTTTCAAGCTATCACCTAAATAAAAGACCAAATTTGGTTCTTGGTCAGACGAGGATAGGGGTACCTACCTCATGGGGTGTTATGGGGACCAGATGAGCCAGACCACATAAATACAGCAACTGACACAGAAATTCCTTAAGACATGATCATTGTCCCTATAGGGCCCGAATTACTAGCAGACAGAGGCTTTGCTGCTCTGGGAAAGCTTGGAAGCTGCTCCTTGGGTCTTGTGGAACAGACTGACCACAAAGCGCATTCCTACCCTGTGGGCTACTTAAAGTCTTCCCCTGCTTCCCCGCTCCCTGACTTTCTAGCTTGCTGAGAAACCACTTTCTTTCTCTGAAGTGCTTTCCACACACGCAGGCCCCATTTTAAAAGGCATTGAAACCGTATTCCCAAGTGGCTTTTCCCCAGGGTTCACAACACTAGCTCTGAGGTAACCTCTTCTCGGACAAGCGGCACCGCCAACCTTTCCAGCCAGCCGCCCGCCTTTTTAAGCGACGTGATGACATCACGGGCGTCGCGCATACGCAAAGACGGCGGCGGCGTGACCACGCCCAGGCCTCCGCTGAGACCTAGATGGCAAGGTAACCGGCCTGCCGGGCCCGTAACAGACTGCGCCTTCCGGGAACACCTGAGCGCCCCTAGGTGAGCTCAGTCCGAAAGCGTTAGGGCCCGCGGGCGAGTGATCTGTGGGGCTGCAGGGCGGAAGCCCGCGGCGCTGGCGGGGAGGAGGTTACAGGGGGGGAAGGGGAGTGATGAGGAAAGTTCCAGAGTCCTTTGGGTGTAAGCGGGGGGGGTTGGGCGGTCAGAAGGCTGGGGATTCCTGGACGGAGCTGATCTTGGGTTCAAAAAGCGAATTTGCCTTGGGGCTTGTCTGAAGTGCCGATTGCATTGCGGACAGAACAGCAAAGAAGTTACTGCAGACTAACTTTTCGTAGTTTTCTTGACGCTGCATTCGAGCATGGGAGGAAGGCAGCTGGGGTTGGCCTGCAGTGATCTCAGCTGGAAAGAGCTCTAAACTACCTGTAGCTGCACGCGCAGAAGCCAGCCGGCCAGCGATTGCTGTCCACGGTGCTGAGGAAAGACAGAGGTGACTTGGGGAGGAAATCGGATGACGGGACGCTGTCTCCATTTCCTTTGGCTGGGGTCTGCGTCCTCCACTCAGCATGTGTGTGCTGAAGGAGGGACTCGGCTTTCTACCAGCGCTGGACATGCAGACCCTTAGCAAGCAAGCAATGTTTAATTTCATAAAATCTAGGATAGCCAGTATGTTGCAGTCCCAGAAGGAACTTCACTCCTGTCTTTTTCTCCTTTAGGGCAGGCATCTTCAGCTTTTGCATCCAACCAGTTGCCTTCAGACTCAGTTTTCAGAGAAGTTCACTAGACCCCTGTATTGGCCCAGGCTCTTCAAACCAAGGTGAGCTTGCCTATCGTGCCAAGTGCACCATGAAACGGATTTTCTAAAACTCCAAGAGAGACTGGGGCAGCCAAGGCAAGGTGAAGGGTCCCAATTGTGTTTTCCTGCACAAGTACTTATGAAAAATACTTTCCTGTTTGGAAAAGAGATGCAGAACTGGGCAGTCTTCCAATAAAGGAAAGGCCATGAGTTTCCAGTTGGTTTTTATATTTGTTTGCCTTTCTATGTCTGTGTACGTGCATGCACGCTCGCACATGCATGTGGAATGGTGTTCCTGTGTTGAATTTTACAGAGTAGAATTTTTTTCTTTCTGTTGATTCAATATAATGTTTACTAGCCTTAATACCAGCTGCTTATTTATTTTGATTTCTGAATAAAGTTAGCATGTGCGAAAAGAGGAGAAATGTGTAATATGTTGCATTTACCTGATTCATGGCATTCCTAGATGCCCACAACATATGAAAAACTATGCATAGTGAATAAAAATATTTTAAGTACCTTCTTTTATTTTATACATTGTTGCAACTCAGTGGGTTGAGGTACTAAAATAATCACATGTTGCAAAGCTGAGAACATGTGGTAGACTTAACTTTTAAGTATTTTTTTTTATTTAGCAGAAAGCTTATAAGGCAGCTTTGATTAAAGATGACTTCCTTGATCACTCAAGAAATTCAACTTTCTAAAAGACATGAAGAAATGTAAGTTTTTTAAAAAAGGCTAATCTAAATATATTTAATGGAACTGACTTTATTAGTAAAACTGTATACACTGGAAGACTTGAAAATCTGAAAGTCTATCATTTTAGTTTTCTGACATGAGAGATTTTGGTGTTAGGAATGTCATTGTCTCCTATGAATAAGGTTGAAAGTTTACATTCTATTATCTTTCTACTTGTGGTCATGAGTAGCTCCATAAATTCACCGTTTCTCTCAACCTTTCCTAGGTTCCAACTTCTCTTAGCCTCTTCAAGGCAAGCTTCAACCAGCCACAGATCCTGCACTTGATTTAATGCTATTTATGTTGTCATTGTGAAATTCCTAATGATTTTTAAGTAAGGAGCCTCACATTTTCATTTTCCCCAGGCCCCGCAAATGATATAGTCAACCCTCCACTTCTATTTGGTATTAACCCTCTCAGTTCTGTCTGTAGGCTCTCATGTTTTCCTTTTCTTTAATTACCAGGCCTTTTTTCTTGGCATATTCAGATACTTATCTTACAAAAATGACTGTTCAAAGACCTGGGTTTGTAGTTCTACCATCAAGAATAGCCCTACGAAAAGTAATATTTGAGGATCCCTGTAACTATCTGGGAAATGGTGAGACTTCTGTAAACCACTTTTGTTTTTTTTATCATGTGACATTTTCCTAGTAATCATTTAAGAGGATCAAAAACATGTAAAATGAGCATTTGACCAGTGAGACACTTCTAAGTATAATATATGTAACTAATTAGTTTGATAATTTACTTACAACTTTTTATATCTGTCTTTACTTACTGTTATACCTTGTTGTGAATTTGAGTACATACACACAGCCTTTCATTCATATATGGAGCCATCATCTTTCTCTTGGAAAAAGAGAAAAAAAAATATTTTTATTGCTTCTTCCAACATATGGAAGTTTAGCACAATTCTAAATGTGTAACATGAGATTCAGGGGTATTGAAGTGTTAAGCAGAAGGTTTCGTATAGCAAGTTATATCAATGTATGTGTCTGGGGAGGTATATATAAGTATGTGTACAAAGGGATATGTATTACAGTTTGCATTTTCACCAAAAATTAAAACATATTTTCAACACTCTAAAATAATTTCAAAAGACCAGAGAGGCTAAAAAACAGAAGTATGTACTTATGGTATATATGTTAATGAAAGTAAAAATAATTTTACCCAGATTGAAGACTTATTGAGCTACCTAAGTTTTTGACAGAGTAAATGGCCTTCAAAAAAGGCTGAACCTGAAGTGAGTTGCAATTAAAAAATGAATTTTTTATATTGGTTAAACAATAAAATGTTTGCTTCTTAAAAACTTAATATAATCTTCATTTTTTTTCTAGAGTATCACAAAGACTAATGTTACTTCAACAAAGGGAGAAGAAATTTGGAGAGCAAAACAAGGAAAAGATACAAGCAGCTGAGTCAGCTTTTGAAAGGAACCTCTGTCTCTTAAAGGTAAGTTTCCAAGACTTCAGTATAGACATCTTTATCCACCTTTCCAAAGAGGTTTTTGTTGAACTTCATAATTTTGATTATATAAATTTTTGTTGAGTGGTAAAATAATTTATAAGCAAGAGTTTATAAATCCTACATATAAACTCAGTTGCTTAAGTACCCTACAGAGTCTTGTTTCTTTTTCAATAAAAATTGAAGTTTGCTTAGTTTTAAATCAACCACAAGATCACTAGCAATGGAATTTTAAGGTAACCTTTGTGCAAAAAGAAATACAAAACATAGCTTTCCATCTTTCATCTTTTGTTTATAGTGTGATCCTAAAACACCATGAAGTACCTATAATGTATTTAGATCCAACTCAACACTATTTAACAACATAGGGACAAGAACAATTTAAATTTTGCCCTACTGGGACCCCAGTTAACACATACAATTCGTACGTAAGATAACAGATTTCCAAGGTCTCTTTGGATGGTGATGGAGGAGGTGGTCAAAGTGTATGATTTTGCAGGGCCTCACCATTTGGTCAATGTGCCCATTTGTAGTAAAATCATATGTGCAACATTTTTGGCTGCTTGCTATACTTTGCTTCCAGAATTGCATGGCTTCATCCATAATTAAAACCCTAAAGTTTGCTTCCATTGAAGCTTCCAAGAGATCCTATGACTAAAACATTTGGTAGTAAGGCTATATTATTTAAGTTATAAAGAAGTGTTTTCAGTTTTTTATTGTTAAATATTTTCATCGATAGGCATGATATAGTTATCTTCTGTCCTCACTAGAGGATAAAGGAAGAGGAAAATTCAGTTATCTTCTCAGCTTCTGGCAGTTTGATCCACAGTAATTTAAGTCACAGCCATAGTGCTACCAAAGCATTCTATATTGCCATATGTCTTACTTGCCCAATGGTGTTTGCAATATTTATTTTAAAATGGAAATATATAGGATAATTTGGAATTTGCTGTGAAAAGTCAGAAAAATTAAATGAGAAGACTTGGTTGCTACTTACCTGCAGCAAGTGATAGGACATTGGGTTGTCAAAAAGCTTCATTTTAATAAGCAAGTATTTGATGAATGCCCAGAGTTCCTACTGTTGAGCTAGTTCTGGGCAGAAAGTGGAGATGACAAAATAAGTATAAACCAGAGTTCTTAACCAAGGAGTTCATGGGATTAGTTTATGACATAAAGTTATCACAGGCAAAATATATGACCTTGTGATCAAACATTAAATTATGTAGAATACTCAGAACACCAGGAGTAAATGTCAAAAAATCTTTGATAGCTAGAATGTTCAAGAGGACTCAGAAAAGAAGTTAAGCTTGAGCTGTGGCTGCTTAAGCAGAAGGTGAGGCATTTCAATGGATTCTTACAGAAAAGCCAAGACTGGAAAAATCAGTGGTCCTATTAAGGGTCATGAAACCCTGAGCAAACGAGCTGGGGAAGTCAGAGGAAACAAGTCACAGGACCAAATAAAGAGAGAGACTTGATATGTAGAGATATTATGGTACGGAAAGTGTCTGAGCATGAGCAAACAAAAATAGAGGCTTATATAAGAAACAGATGAGTAGGTACTGAAGAGAAACTAATTTGCTATTTAGATGCAAGGTGATTTCAAGAATAAAGAGACTGGAGTCAAGGAGGGTAGCTAAGAAATCACTGTCCTATCTAGAAGGAAGATGTTGAATCTTGTCTCATAGTCATGAGAACCCACTTTGCTATGTTTATTCCCTGGTTATCAAAGTAATATAGTCTCACTATTTAAAAAAAAACTTGAAAGAGCCAAGATAATGAAATAACACACCTCCCATATCATCTCATCCATCTAGAAGTGAATATTCCTTTATATATTTCTTTTCAGTTCTTTAATAGACATTTATTGAGCACCTATTACACCCTAGACACAGTGCTTACTCTTAGAGAAGTGGTCTCTTTCCTGTCTTTTCTTTTTAAACATTGTTTGAATAATTGCACATGGAATTTTGTTATCCCGCCTTGCTACATAGTTTAAACTTTGACAAAAATTTGAGTGGCTCTACCATGAGAGTTATTGTGAAAGTAAAATAAACAGAATTTTGAGTTGGGAGGGATTTTAAAAAAACAGATTAGATTGGATTCTCATGAAAAAAAAAATTTTTTAACATAATATTTTTCAAAGCTGTAAAATATACAAAAGTAAACCTGTTTGGCTTAAAGTTCCACCCATTCAGTTTCCTTCCCTCCCCGGCTGTGGCTCTAGGGAACTGTGAAAACCTTTGTTCAGAGCTAATCCATTAATTTAGAAATGAGGAACCATAAGATTACTGCTTCTAATACTTCATGTCAAGAATAAGTTTAAGTTACATAAGGATATGTATGTAAGCATAGAACACACTTAAAGGAGTCCATTAAAACTTGGAAGTATTCCTATAAAAATAGTAACAAAATAATGATGACCTCTATCACATTCTGTTAATTGACTTTATTTAGATGTTCTGATTATCCCCCAAAGTGGAATTAGCTTTAACATTTGGAAAAGAAGGCAAAACTAGCATTTTAAAATATATATTTAGAAAAATCAAATTTCTTTTAAGACAAGTATGTTATGAATTAAGGGAAATTAATCAATTAGAAAAATCACAATGGCAACCACATATAGAGCTAAGAAATATGAATTATATTCACATTAGCAATAAATAAACTATTTGGGGATGATCTTCAGAGGTATGCATGACTGATATAAAGACAGGTATTATACTTCATGTGGGATATTTAAGGGAGAACTTAAAATGGAGACTATTACTTTTCTAAAGTCTGTTGTCATAACAGTATTTTTAAATTTAATAACCCCCCCCAAAAGAATCTTGTATCAAACCAAATAAAGTGTCTCTAAATATATTTGGAAAAATAAAATAGTAAAAATATAAAAAATAGAATTTGTAAAAGAGGAGCAAAAAGCAAGAGATTGAGCTCATCAAAGATTCAATCATACTATTAAGTAATGGATATAATATAAACACTGAAGAAAATTCAGTGTCTGTTTACTCAATAAGTATCATAAAAGACAGTGGACTTGGAAAACAAGCAAGTTTTTCTTCTTAATATTAATAATGAATTTCAACTACCTTAAAAAATATAAACATAATTCGTACGGATATGGAAGACTAAGAATTTTGTTTCTACAAATACTTCCACGATATAAATTTCTCTTTCCCACCTTTCTCACCACAAAAATTTAGTTTTACCCTAACAGGAGGCATCGTGGTAATAAACATCATCTCCTGACAAACACGCCAGGGTGAGAAAGAGGAGGAAAGTGCTAGAGCAGATTAGAGATAAAGCGAGCTTCCACTGCAGAGGGGCCTGTAAGCCTCCGTGGGGCAGCTGGCCACTAGATGCAGCCTTAACCAAAGGGCATCTGGAATGACCAGTGACTCACAGGACCACATCCCTCTTCCTCTTTCCTCCTCACAGTAAGTTTAGTGAATTCTACTAATGAACCTCCATCTTGTACTTTGGTATCTTTATTTTTTTAATCCCAGAAATTGACCCTTTAGCATATTAAAAGATTGAAAACCAGACTTGACAGCTGGTTTCAGTCATCTATCAAAGGCGGGGGTGATATATTGCAGAGTTGGCAGGGAGGGGTGAGGGTAGGAAGAGAGGAGAAACATTTTTTGAGCTGATAGATTTCATCTTTTCTAATCAGAACATAGGCTGCTGAATCCTGCCTGGAACAAAGTTTACACCAAGGCATTCCCATTGGAAACTTGTTGAATTGTTATGAAAAATGTCAAGCCTCTTAGCAGAAGGAATAGAAGGATGTTATTTCCATGAGCTGATCACCTAGATTCACTGTCAAAACACAGTGAATCTCTTTTTATCTGTACTCCTTACCTCCACCCACAACCCCGCAGAATATTTTGAAGCTCAGATGTCACATTGTTTCATCTGTAACTGTTTCAGTATATTTAAAAGATAAGGACTATTTTAAGCAAAATCACAACATTATTTATCAATTTAAGAAATGAACGGTAATGCTGCCTTATCCAATCAGGACTCACATTCCCTGATTAATTTGAAAACTTTTTTATATTTGTTTAATAAGGATCCAAATCAAATTCAGCATTATCACTGATTGATAGATCTTAAATCTGTAAAGCTCTCCCTGCCTATTTTGTTTTTTCCTCCCCCTGTATTTGTTGAAGGAATCGGGTCATTTGTTCTGTAGAGTTTCCCAGCCTGGATATTACTTATTACATCTCTGAGGTATCACTTAGGATTTTCCTCTGTTCTGCATAATTCCTATAAATTGGCAGATCTAGAGTTGCGCTGTCCAATGTCAATATAATGTGAGCCACATATGTAATTTAAAATTTAATAGTAAACACTTAATAAGGCAGGAAGAAACAGATTAAATCAATTTTAACATTTTACTCAAAAAAGCATTCAAATTATTTCAAATGTAATTGCTATAAAGAATTAGGAAATATTTTGTATTCTTTTTTCTCAAGTCTTCAAAATTTAAGTGTATATTCTACTTACAGCACATCTTAATTTGAACCTAACATATTTCAAGTGCCTACCAGCCATGAAGCTAAAGGATATTGCATTAAGAATTCAGATTTAAGACCTGATGAGATTCAGGGTCAGAGTTTTGGGGGAAAACACTTCTTAGTTTTCTCTCGTCTTGGAATATTAGCTGTCACTGATGATCTTTGCCTGGATATATTCATTAGGAGATGCAAATAGTGATAATCAAATTATTTTATTTCTTCTTACTCAACTTTCCCTCATCAATTATTTGGTTACACTGAAATACATTTCATACATGAAAAACCATGTTTCATGCTTGATTCCTTCTCTTCTTGTTTTCAAAACAGATTGTTCATTTGGAGGATACATGAGGACTATTAAGTGTTGCTGAGTGTTTTTTTAAATTTATCTGGCATTTTAAATGTTTAGTCCATTCTACTTTTTATCTTATTTATGCTCAAATTGTCCTCTTTAAGTCAGCTTTTGAATGCCTCTGATGTTCTTAACAATCTTTGATAGTTTCCTTTCTGTGTGGTATGATGAAATCTTCCAGGCTCATCAAGTGCATTTGCTCACCAGTCTTAGAATTGATCATTGCTCCAAGGCAGCCTAGATGCTTTTGGTGGGAGCTGTTGAGAGCCTTCAATTTAGGCACTAGTGGTGTTTAATGTAACTTTTTTTTTAAAAGATAAAATCCATCAAGAGATCCCATTAGTAAGTCTAGTGTAATTAAAATATTGCAGGATTTTTAACTTCGAAACATTGAATCTTTTACTTCTAACTTTTTTCTCACACCAGAAATCTCAGTTCCCAAAGAATTTTCGAATACCAATGTAATGTCACTACTTATTTCATCCTGTGTTACAGACACCACTAACACCAATAATACCATTACAAAGGATGGTTTTCAGTAAGATACTTTCACACTGATTTCTGTCCTTACCACTAGGAATGCTCAAAGTACTGTTTTACAACCACTTGGTGTACCTCTTCATGCAGTTATACCAACTAATTAGCAGTTAGATTTGTTTCATTTAGCTTTCAATTTTTAGAGATTTTTTAATTTGTTTTATAACTAAAATTTTAAATGGCCTTGTGGTATATCTTTAAAGCAAGATAATAAGGTATAATCAGGTGTCTAGTCTCTCCTTCTTTTCTCCTCCTACCCTTTTGAATACTTTTTGTAAGTTTTCTTGTTTATATTCAGAAAATATTAACCTAAGAGTGACCTTAGTCATTTATTCACTTAGTGAAGATTTAAGTGCCTGGCACATGCCCTGCATTTATTATTAGATTTGTGGGTGTGACTCACAGAAGGTTCTTATATGGAAGTATTAGAATATAACTGCTATAGAAGGCTGGGGTCATGTCAAGGAATTCATACCTGTAGTGTAGCTACTGATTATTATTTTTTAATCTAGAGAAAAGCATTTTGTAGTTTTTTTTATTTTAAAGAAAAACTAAGCAATTCTGTGTTAGGTGTGAATTAAAGTAAAATAAGAACTAGTCCAGCCTGAGTCACAGAATGTACTTGGTAAGGATTATTGAATGAACAAGTGAAAGAATAAGGCCACGTTATTGGGCATGACATGGGACAGGCTAGGAGGAGGCAGCCTGAGAAAACCATCTATGGAGCATTAGATATTTTTTCAGACAGGGAATAAAAAGAGGTGAAGGTAAAGGATACACCCCGGGTCTCTAGGAGAACAGAATTTCTTACTATTTTTCACTCACCACCTTCAGTGGGAACATTAGCTTAGTTCTATAAAGAAATAAGGACTAAAAGAAAAATAAGGATTACAAGTTCGCCACCACCACTCCACCCCCACCCTATGCCACCCGCCCCCAAGCAATAGCTGAAGCTAGATGAGAGATAATCTTGGAGGAAGAAAAAGTAAAAGGACTAGGACAGATTAGGACAGATGTCATAAATCTTACAAAAACCCACACTCAGGATTAAGGAGGGGAAAAGGAGCCAAATAAGGAGAAAGAAAAGCAGGAGTCAGGGAGATAAGCAAAACATCTAAGAAACTGGAAATATCACTTAAGGAAGAAGTTCTGTGGCGGGGTGATAATCCCTTGTTGAAACGCTGCTGAGATGACAGTCAAGTTACTAACCGTAGACCTGCTTCACCAGGCCATGTACCCCTACTTGTGCCTGCTCTTTCATTTGAAAATCTGCCCTTCTTTAAGGGATTCAGTATCTTCATTCTCTGGTCTTTAAGAAAAAATGTCCACATGCTACTAACGATAAAATGTCCACATCCTGCTAACGATAACTTTGTAAAGTGTTCTTAGAGTAATGGAATAATTGGGCCTGTGATTTTCGTTATTTGTTTGATTCTAAAAGAATAATTTCTCCAGGACCTTGTAAAATCTCAATGTACTCACAGAAGAGTGAGCCTCTCTATCAGCACTGAAAGCTCTGTAGCATGTGTCCGAATTGTCCATTTCTGGTACCGGTCAGACATGCAAATAGATGGGTTTTTTATCCCTAAATTGATGTTTTTCCCCTTCAAATCACCTTCCCCTAGACAGCAGGTGCATGAATGGTTGTGCAACTTTGGGGAGTCCCTTTAGGGAATTTCCTGTTTTTCCCTTTTACATTTCACACCCATTCCTTGCTCCCGCCGCTACCATCTGCTATATCTTTTCTCCTGTTCAGCACTGGCTTCTTCACACCCCACTCCCACGCCCTTTTCCATCTCTCTCCGTCTGTCCAACAGCCCTGTACTTAGATTGCTCCAGTGCTTGTGCCTGGATCAGAGAACTTTCTCTTTTCTATCAACTCACTAAGCTCGAAGGAGAGACAAAATTTGCACGGCCTTCCACCAAGGCCTCTTTAAACTTGGCAAATGTAAAGCCAAGGCAGGACAATACAGGTGCTGATCTGGGGGGCATTTCTTCAGTGGGGTGCTACTGTTTCAATGACTTACAGAATTCTACTTTTCTGGGCATCTACTTTATACATGTATTAAGGTAAAATCTTTACCAGGGTATAAGTTTCATGGCTATGTTTCTGTAACTGTAAGAGAAAATATACACATCTATAAGTTAGTAAACTACAAATGAAAGCACAGTGCTGGAATGCCATCAACTGAACGATACGCTACTTAGCCATAAAGTTGTCACTGAAATTAATTTAGAAATCCAGTACTAAAAATCTAGATAGTACAGTGAAAAGGTTTTTGTCACAAAATACTGAGGTACCTCACTGAGCTCCTCTAAATGTATGGAGTTTTGTGTAAACATAAAATAGTAAAATGGAATATTGAACAAATGTAATGTGTGCCATTAATAGACTATTTGCATGATCGGAGAGACTAAAACTCTAAGGTTAGCACAGCATGAGTCTGAGTAGCTGCTTTTAAAATCGAATATTTGACTCTTATCCATCCAACTGTTTTTAGATGATTTTAGTAGTCCTCTGAGCAGTTTTAGAGGAAGTTCTTTGCAAGAATTATTGGCATTTACTAGCAATTTAAAATGAAAAGGCAGAACTTAGAAGTACCACCCTCCCACACCTTGTAGTTTAAAATGAGAAACCCTGCAGTACTTGAAATCGGTTAATTAAGCAATGATTGATATTCCTACCCCAGTGCCCCACCATCATTTCAAACTACACATCCAGAGAAGTGTTGAGGCGAGAGATTTGGAGTATAGTTATTGCTGTTACAGTGATCATTTATGCATGCTATATAAAAACACTGGTTTATTTAATGCTGATATTTGTTAACAGGATATAGAAACAGCAGAAAAGTCTCTCCAGACCAGGATTCACCCTCTTCTACCACCTGAGGTTATTTCTCTTGAGGTGAGAATCTTAAGGAACAAACGTAAAAGAGACTATTTTTTAGTAGGGTATTGTAAATTAACAAATGATTATATGTATTTCCAGATTTAGTCAATAAAAAAACAAGATCTGATTGATCTTTATATATCCATAGTACCATGTTTTATAAGTAATAGGTAATTGATAAAATTCATTTTTTAAAAAGTTATCAAGTAATTTTATGAAGATCCTGGGTCTTTTGTAAGTCATTTAAAGACAATCCTGTTAAACAATACGCAGTGAATTTTAGGATGACAGCATGCTTAACCAAAGTATTTTTCTCTTGGCTGATAGAAGTAGCAATTAAGTCCCTTCACCAAAAATTCAACCAGTGCTATTTAAATGCCTACTGTCCTGTGGCATAGTGTGGTTTTTGTCGGCTTTATTTTGATCAGTTCAAGAACAGACTGGGGAAATGCTAATAAAAATTAACCATATTTGATACAGGAATGCATCTGTGATGAAAGGGACTTTACTACAGACATAATAGTTTGATTATGTCCTTTTCCAAAGGCAGTTTTTCTGGCTGCTCATTTAAGAATCTGAATAGACTCAGAATTGAGGGTGAGATTTGTCCCTCATTTTCTGTGTCATCTAAAGTAGATGACACAGAAAGGCGGTGTACACGTATAGAAAAAAAACTCTAGTACAAACTAGTGCCTTGGATATATCTTTTTCTTTGTTGAATTCTCCAATGCCCTACCCTGGCCCAAGCAGGGCCCACACAATAGGGGTTAATCCAGCTGTGAATGGTGGAGAAACTCCCAACCACGGGCCTCAGTTGGCATTTTTCCTCGCTAGTCTTGCACAGCAGGATGACCCTTATTTTAAGTATGGCAGGCTATTTCTCAAAGCACATGCACAATTGTATAGAGAAGTAGAATTCCTCACCATTTCCAACTTACAAGACCCATCAATCTTTTTAATGCCCAGAGTGAATAATTTTGTGTTCCTAATGCTACCTACCTGTTTGGCTGAATTCCCCAAAATAAGATTGATGGTGTTGATCAATGTAAAATGTCTTCCTATGACATGGTGCTTTGCTGGTTTAGTTTTCTTAGGCCTCCTTAGGGCAGTCACCCAAGAAACCATCAAAGCTCATAGACACAATGCAGCTATTGCATGAACTTCTAAAGCTTACAGGTTGCTAGAGTCAGGCCATATACAGCATCTCTATTTTCAATTTACTGAATTAAAATTAGATGATCTATTACTGCCTCATGCTACATGAAAAATCTGGGACGAGATTATAATTTTTCATATCAAGTGATTACCTAAAAGATAAAGTGGATGCATGTTTTTATGTTTTTTTTTTTTCCATATAATTTAAGGTGTCATTCACCTAAGTCTTATACCGTAGCATATTATTCACATTTCATTTGCTGATCTTACCCCAGGTTAAACTTTCTTAAAGTTAATTCTAAAGCAGTTTTTCATGTTTAGTCATTTCATTGACATAATTTCAGTATGGGTAATCATTTGGTATGGGATTTGGAACAATCAACAAGAACATTTAATAACCGTGTAGCCATAAATTATACTACTGGTAATAATCACAAGGTTCGCCACAAGAGGGCGTGTAAAATCACAATAAAATTCTAAAACCTGTAATTCTGCCAGGGTCTGGTTTTACTGAGAAATTTGAAAATTAACACTAGTAAGTAGCCAGATTTTTTTCTAAAATTAACATAAAATATTCTGTAGAGGAAGTGCATTCTACGTATATGTGTGTGTGTGTGTATACATGCACAAACACACTTAAGTGAATAAACATTTAGACTATTATGAAGAGCCAAGTTCAATTGCTTGATATGCTTTTTTACTTTTGGATGTTGTTTTTTTTTCCAGACTCTTTACTGGGCATCAGTAGAAGAATATATTCCCAAATGGGAACAGTTTCTTTTAGGAAGAACACCATATCCTATTGGTGCAGAAAATCAAAATGAAGCAGGAAATACTATTCAAAATAAAGCACAGCAATAACTCCTCATGCTATTTCAAAAAACGTGTTTAAGTAAATCTGTACTTTAAGGACTATGCAGGTCACTTCAGAAATTTTAGAAACTGAGTATGTTCCTACTGTCTCATGACCTCACCATGACAATGAAGATAATGAAAAGCTACTGGGATGTCTCAAGTTTCGCCTAAAGACTTACTACTATTTCCAGGTCATGAATCTGCTTTCTGCAAAACCCATGGAAGTGTCAGAAACTAATATGGAAAGGTGGATGGCTTCTTAAATAAATTAGGAAAATGAGTGCTGTGTGCGTTGTTTTTTTAAAAAATCAATTGCTGTCATTCTCATCTAAACAGACTACTAGTTCTGAGTTGTTTTCTAGAATCTCATATTTTTATCTCATATTTAGATAAAGCTCATGATCAGAGTGGTTGCTCGCTGTTATACTGTCTTTTAAAAACTGGTTTAGCATAATGATATTTATCAGGAAATATGTTCATAGGAATTTGTCTCTCATAGATAATCAAATCTCTACAAGTTCAGGAAGAAAAAGCTAAACTTTAATGCATTTGATAAATAGCAAGTTTGGGGAGGGCTCAGACTTGGTTCTGAGAAAGGATATCGATTAGAGCCGGGAGTGGTTACTGCACACTGACTTGGTTATTTAGGGACTGCCAACCCTTTGAATACAAATAATTCTTCTCCCTTCTTTAAACTTCCCTCTCCCTTCTGTTTTCATTGTTTCTGAAACCACTGTCACTCAGAAAGCTTTAGGTCCCAACCCTAAATGCTTTGAGATTCCTCACTTCACCATTGCTTGAGCACACAAAAATAATTACAATTTTTATAATTACAGAGGTAGTTCCTGCTAGTAAGAGGAGTCTACACTACACTACACGTTAAGATTTTACATTACCAAATGGTTTGTGTTTTTAAATGAAGACAATAGTACATGCTAAAAATAAACAAACAAAAAAAACCCACTGAAACACACATTATGCTGAGAAGTTCCTGTAAACTACCATCTTGGAAAAATCCAATTGAGTGGGTGTTGGTGTGGATAACAATAACGTTGTTTTCATAATATGCGCTGGCAGATTAGCACACTTCTCTACAGTGTTAACAGTTGTAATTAAGGAATAAACAGCACAGAGTGTCAGTCCGATGACAATTTCATCTATAGTGTCACAATACAAAATGTCACAAAATATTAGAACTGTTATGTAACTATATAAAGTACTGGCTGAAGAGCTGAACGCCTTTGAAAAGAGGAAGACAGAAAGGAAGAAAAAAGGAAACTGGCATGGACACCAGAACAATTTTATACCTTCTCAAGAATGTTCTGTCACAAAAATAAATTGATAATTTTTTCCCTGTTACATTACAGTTTGGTTCCTAGCCATCCAGTTGATTTAACAGGAGAATGCAGGGCTTTTTAGCAGCTTTGAATTGGTAAACAGATTTAGATGAAGTAGAAAGGAACATGAGGAAGGTTTTTTTTTTTTAACATCCAATCTTTCCCAGCATATGCACATAAGAAGGTGAATGAAGCAATGTGAAACTTATTTCTCTTTAGTCAAGTGAAAAAAAGGCTAAACATTTGTTGAGATGGTAAAATATTGTGTCAAGCAAGTAGGCACATTCCAAAATTAAACAGTGGTTGATACGTTAAAGTCCTCAAATATTTGAGTGTACATTTCTTTGGAGTTCTGTAAATTAAATCAGTAGGTTAGATTAAAATACAAAATGAAGAGCAATTTAACCAGCTCAGAAAAGGTTCAGATTTTTTCCTCCTGAATTGACTGACTTGCTAAGTAGTTTTAAAAGGAGGGGCGGTAAATTTCTGGGTTGATGTAGGGCCCAAGGGAAGTTATTTCCAGACTTTAGCTATAGTATTTCCCCCATTTCTAGCTCACACATCAAAAACTCCCAGAAATGGCTTTATTCCTGGCCCACATAAAATTCCTTCTGCCCTCACCTCCTCATAGAGGAAAACAGATTGCACCACATGGTGTATGTTGTTGTTTTTTTTTTTTTTATTCCCATAGGGACCTAGACACCCTATTAAAGGGCTTTATATTCCTCATGGCAAATTATCTTTACATAGGAATTTCTAAATATTGCTTTCTATAAGGAAGGGAGAAATACTGTATCTAATGTGTTGTGTTTTGTTTTTGCTTTTGTTTTTGTTTTTGTTTTTTACACACAATTAGTAGGAAGTCAAATAAGGAAATGAAAATGTCATCTACTCATACCTTTCCCCTCCAACTCAGAGCCCTTACCACAAGCCACACTGTATCTATTGTTCATGAAAGTTATGAATTTATAACTTATTAGAAAAATGGAGTTTTCCAAATAAAAGTGGTTATAAGAATTTGTTTTCACATCCTTTCGTGGGCTATTGCAAAAGCATGAATATTCATAACTCATTTTCTGCTGAAACACATCCAGTACATGACATTATTAAAAAATGAAATGCCAAAGATCAGAAGAAGGAGTTTTTCTTCAGTTTCAAAATATAAATCTTATTAAGTACTAAGGGGAAAGCCTAATATGCTGGAAGCCAGACAGCTGGTCTTTCCTATGTGTAGGGAGCAGCGTGAATGAAGTCAAAGGGACAATTTTTCTCTATGCACAAGGTATTTTCACTTGTCAGCTTAAGACTTAGATGAAATCACCTTTAATCTTCTTTATATTTTTGTCTTCTCTGCCCTCATCCCCCCTTACATAAAAAAATAGTAAGATGGATATGTGGGCACATTTATTTTTCAAATCAATCAACTTACTTTGTAGGTGATTTTGCACCTTCTGATATAATTGGATAGAGAGGCTGAAGTGGGTTTATGAGAAAGCAGGGTTTGCAATCCCCGGGTTTAGATAAAAAATAAAAACTTTAAATCTACCAAAAGGTGGGTTTTAGTGTATAAATGTTAATGCACAAGATCATGAATTTGGTTTAATCTACAAAATATATTCCTGTCCTTCTTGTGTCTATTCATTTATCTTTTTACTCTAAGCCAATTCACATCTTTCACTTTATTTTTAAAAAGACACTATTTTATTTGAGATAAAATGATGTAAAAATAAAAGTTTCAAATATCCCTAAGGAATTTTGTCCCCTTTTAAAGAAATACCCAAACATAATAGCTGTGTGGCTTAACACACTCTTCAACTTCAATAGTCTATGTTGACCTCTTCCACTTTAATTAGGATAGTAAGATTATCTTTTTTTTTTAAGATGTTGACCAAAATCTCTTCAGAAAGGGTAATAAGCAGGTGGTAAGTTCAAACAGAATGAATGTGTAGAAAATATGGGGAAAGGTAGAGAAGTTACTTTGAGAAAGCTTCAAGTTGGAACAAGAATTTGTGTGTATGTGTGTGTTTCTTATGAATTAGAAGTTAATTTGTCTACACAGGAAATTTAATTCCCCACTTGCTAATAAAAGAATGTTTAGAGTTTTCTGGGACAAACATGGGGACGTGTCAAACTTCAGCAATTAAGGAGAGGATTGATTTGTGGATTTGACACCTGGCATTGTGATCTCCCTTTCTAACTGGAACTGAGATTATACACTTACTAAAATCCAAGAATAAGAAAATAATTCCAACAAAGAGGGGCTAAATCAACACTTCCGGACATTATCTTGCCTCTCAGATTCAAGTTTCCTTACTTACAAGGAAGAAAGGACTGTGTCCCCCGCATTGTAGTAATGTTTCAATGTTCTTATTCTAAAAATTCTTCATTTGTGTCTCAAAGAGACTAAGTCATTGGGAAAGTAGTACCTAGACTGACCATAGTACAAATCAATAACTAATACATCGCTGTATTGAGAGGAAACAATGAAATGTTTGTATTTTAAAAAAAGTAATGGCTAACTGGTCAATTATGGTCAGGGACTTTTTATTATTCCATCATTTATCTAGGTTATCAATGTAGCCTTTCCCCCCTGTTTTTCACAATAACACTAGGGGAAAAAATACTGTCAATTTCCAGTTATATATTTTGACTAGTCCACCTTTTCCTTCATCTCCCAAGAAAACTTTTATTTCACAACTCATCTCCAATTATTGACAAGATCCATAACACAAATATATCCTTCTACTGCAATGCTCTGTTCCAGGAAAACAAATACTGAGATGTTCAAAAGAAGCCAAATCTAGAGCTTTTAAATGTGATAGCCAACAAACAGAGGTACATAACATTTGAGCATCATTTATTTATTCACATATTCACCAAATATTATTGAATTACTGTGTAGCAGGAACAGTTCTAAACACTAAGAATATGGCAATAAACAAAACAGCCAAAAACATCCATGGTCTTCATGGAATTTACATTCTGGGTAGAGAGAGTTGAAGGTAATAATAAGCAAAAGTAAACATGATACATTAGGTGGTGATAAGGTCAAATATTGCGTGAACATCTAAAATGTCTTCTCAATGCAGAAATAAAGCAGATTTCATATTTTCTCATAAAATAGGACAGAACAGAAAGAGTGTTTTCCCCTATTGAAAGATCTTAAATTGGGAATTTCCAGTGTAGCAACGCTTCCACTATTACTAATTTGGAAATTGTATAAACTCTTGGATAGCTTCATGATAAAGAATGAAAAAAAAAACTTATTTCAACAGATATTTATACATCACTGTTTATAGCAGATTATTCACAACAGCCAAAAGGTGGAAACAACTCAAATGTCCATCCCTACTGAACAAAATGGGATGTACAAAAAGCAAGATAGCTATACTTACACCCAACAAAATAGACAATAAGACAACATGACAAGAGATAAAGAAGATTATATAATGACAAAGGGATCAATTCATTAAGGAGCTATAACACTCATAAAACCTATCCCAGACTGAACCATGAAGAAAGAGAAAATCTGAGCAGACTAATAGCATGTAATTTAAAACTTCAACACAAGAAAGCCCAGGACTGGATAGCTTCACTGGTGAATTCTACCCAAAGTTTAAAGAAAGTCAAATCTCCTTAAATGTTTCCAATATATTAAAGAGGTGGGAATACTCCTGAACACATTTTTACAAAATCAGCCTTTTCCTGATACCAAAGTCAAATAAAGCCAATACAGAAAACTAGACCAATAATGCTGGTGAATACACAGATACAAAAATTCTCAATATATTAGCAAATCAAATTCAACAATATAGTAAAAGGATCATTCATCATGACCAAGTGGATTTATCTCTGGGATACAAGGATGGTTCAACATACAAAAAGAAAAAAAAAGTCAATCAATATGATATATATCACATTAATAAAAGAATCACATCAC